AGCGAGAAGCTGTACAAGCCGCATTTTTCAGCTTTTTGTAGGATCTTTAGATAAATTTTATTTTCTTCAAAATCCTTTTTTTTCTTCCAAGTTAACGAAATCCTTCCAAAGTTGTACTGGTTGACTAATCAACAGTGCTAAAAGGTTGAGGTTTAAGTCAAGTTTCAAAGTTCATACTAAAGATTCGTATTACGATACTATTGATTTACTGCGTCTTTGTTTTAGGCGCCTGGGAATTATAGGGGAAAGGGGGGATGAAGGTAAGTGGGTGTGCTGGCCAAAAAGCGTGGGGACAGAGAGCTGGCATATAGGAGTGGGACAGAGAAACTTCGTGTAGGCAGAACGAGGTAGTAAACTTCTCGCACGTTGATAGAAACCGAGCAAAGCGGGGTATCCCAGCCAGTTTCCAGATATTCTTAGGACGATTCTCCACATATTTCAGAATGACACTCATGGACTAATCTGATATGATAAAGGAGAATAGGCTGGTGCTGGCAACTCACTCAACAATATCGGTTGCGAGTCTTTGACTGCAGGAGATGATCGAGTTCGACATTGTTTACTCTTGACTTCCTTCGCATAGTAGAGGTAGTGACATCTACGATACATGGCGTCTGCATCTACCCGAGCGACTACAGTGCCAAGGGAACCTTGAGCCTGTAAAGGTTCTCTCGAGATCTTTATCTAAAAACACCGTATAACTTACATAATTGGGCAGAGGCACGCTTTGATTAAAAGCTGCTTTCTCACAAAAATCGTCATCCATCACTGGAGTCACCTCCAAGTCTTTGAGCCCTAAGGGCCATGCTGAATTTGTACAGTACATTGCGAACATAAATCTGGTGCCTAGGATTACCTCCAAAGTATTCAAATGTGAGCTCAACTGTGCCAAACCAACTCGTAGAGGAACCTTTCTAAAGTCTCATAAGAAAAACTTCATGGGGGCCATCAAAAACGTACATAGACTACTTCCAGTAACTTGAGCTTTGCACTGGGATGCGGCGGGCCT